TTTTCATTTTTAAACAAAAAAAAAAAAAAAAAAAAAAAAAAAAAAAAAAGGAAAAAAAAAAAAAAACAACCTGTTCTAGACTAATTCTCAATCTGCCACAGTCAGTCCTTAAAATGTGTCTTAAAGTGATGCTCTAAAGGAAGTGTTTAAACACCTGACCTTGGAAAACAAGATTCCATCAGTATTCCCAGGTGAAGAAGCCTATCTTATCCTTTCAAAAGAAACTACTATTTCCAAACACCTTAATTTTGGCTTACAGGCAACATGTAATGAGAAAAGTTCACCAAAAAAAAAAAAAAAAAAAAGTCATATGTTTACAACGCTATCAAAAACCTTCAGTTCTAAACACATTACATATAAATAAAAAGGAATGATGTTTTAAGGCTCTTGATTATTAAGTTAATAAATCAAATATACACAGTGATTAATAAAAAAGAATTATTTACATAACTATACAAAAATTCTACTTTTGACACATTTTTCCTCTTTAAATTCTTCATTTTACCAGCAACTGCTGACATCAAAGCCCCCCTCCCCCAACAACAAAAATACAATAAAAAAAATAAATAATAAAGTCATTTGTGATAGTTGCTGTGGTTCTGAGCTGCAAAAGGCACTTTCAAATACAGAACTACTTGTACGTCATCATAAAACCAATATACAAAAACAACTCAAGAGTCAATAAATATAAATAAAACTATGATCCTAAGGCTGCGTCACCATTAGGACCGCTGGCACAAGTGGCAGCTCCTGGCCGAGGGCTGGGCAGCTCCTGGGAGCCCCGATGTGTCGGCTGCAGGGGAATGTACACCCAGGCACATTCACTAGTTTTTTTGCATAGCTGTGGGCACTGCACTCCATTTCCCAGCAACCACAGAAACTACCAGTGCCAGTGGAAGCCAGCTTGTCGAAACTTAAATTAACATAGGATTCTAAGTCAACAGCCTCAGACTGGAATACGACAACAGTTTAAAGAAACTACAAGCCCCGGGGTGCTCTCAGACTCTACCTATGGTGGCAGCCCATTGTCTGCTATACGATGTACTCCATCCGGTTCAAGCTCTGGGCACTTTCCAAGTCTCTGTTGTCCTGTTTGTTTGTCCAGTTCGGGTGTTTTGTCGGTGTGCCACTGGGGGCCTTCTCCTCTCTGTCTACCAGTGTGTACACTGGCTGTTTGGCAAACCTGACTTTCTGCTGGTGTTTATCCATGTCATCCTCCTCCACTTCGGAGTTGTGTGTCCTTATTTTTGACATTTTGGAGTTTTTGTTCTCATAATCCTTAATGGGGACTGTGTTGGCTCCGTGTTTCTCAATGGGGTTTTTGATCTGGTTCAGCTGTTCCCGCACATTGTTGGTAGTGTTGTCCTCGGAGGCAGAATGTGTGTGGCTGCTGGGCTTCCGCCGCTTCCGTACACACCAGTAGAAGGCTGTCACCAAGCAACAGAGCCAAGCCACTGTTAAGACAGAGCTCAGCAGAGGAACCAGGAAATCTGTAAGATAGGCAAAAGACCAATTAACTCAAAAAGAAGAGCTATCACCATGGGAACAGAAGAATACCAACAGTGGTTCTCCTGTATTCAGTTCCTAAGAGAGGTACTCTGGGGACAAGTCCCTTTTCATAACTGCAGCTACAGTTTTTCGCTTCACAGCTTGATAGGCTATGGCTGAGATGGCAGCCCTTTAAGACACTTGTCTCCAGAGGCACCAGCTAGAGTAGCACTCCCCAACTCCACATGACAGGAGTTTAGTTCTGGTCCCAGGGAGTCTGGCTGATCAGGGCTGATTTCAAGAGTCAACAGAAACCAAAGGCAATTGTGAATAATGAAAATTCTGAGTCCGAAGCCCTGGTTTCTGATCATCCTGAACAGTGGGCACTCGAGATCATCAAAAGGTGAATTTGAATATCCTAACAGACCATCAAGCCATCCACCCAGTGAGTGCCTGTCAGTGCTTAGGGCCAGCTATGCTAGGATAAAAAAGCCAAAGCTGCCTTTGTACAACATCCCCAGCTCAGGTGCTGCTCTGCCCCAGGGCTTTGCAGTGGATTTAGATCACAGCTCTTTTTCATGAGCACTTGCCAACAAAATAGTGCATACAGTGTGCTAGTGGGAGAGAAGGGTCAGGTGTACCTGTCTCTGCCTTCATCAGCCAATACCAATATAGGTTTTGTGACCTTCAGCAAATAGATTGAGCTGTTTTCTCAGTAGAAGGGCTTCTAAGATGCAAGCAGTGCTCATCAGGTCATTCATAGCTAATGGCTTTTTTCTTAATGGAGTGGTCAAATCAATTTCACAGCCCCCAGGAAAGGATATGTTCCAAATGGACACCCACCTGTTCTGTTTTTCATAGGACGCCTCTGAACTCTGACTTCTGCAACAGCAGCAATAAGTGAGCTGTTTCCATCACGTTTACTAACGAGATCTATTATTTTATCAGTAATTTCCTTGATAGGGTTCCCATCATCCCGGATGTCTTCCGCAGACTAGAAAAAAAGCGAATTATTCATCATTTGAAATAACACAACAGCAAGGGTACCTAATGCTTTCAGTGAAATTGCTGCTTGAGTTGCCTAACTTAACTCTCCCTCTTGACCAATAATTAGCAGTGAGATGGTCTTATACTCACAATGGCCACATGTATTTCATTGTTCGCAGACAGGGAAGGCTCACAGGCTATGTAGATTGAATATTCAGCAGAAACATTCTTCAGAATATTCAAATTCCTCAATTCACTGCAAATGTGCTCAGTGGTAAGACCCTACAATGATTAAAAAAAAAAAAGACATTAACATACATGAAAAACAATGGAAGGAAAAAAGGCTGGTGGTCTTATCAACTGTCTAGATTCAAGCCTCACTTTGTTCTAAGAGACAAGTTTGGGGCTATAGAGAAGTAGATGACCTCCTCCCTCACTTGCCACACTACTTTGAAACAAGCAGACACAGTCCCATCCTCATCAAAGAAGTTACATACTGGAGACATCATCTCTTTGTTGAACGTGAAAGTGATGTTTGCACAATTATCCTGGTAATAGGAGTCAGATGTGCACTTGGTCTTCACTGGCTGGAGACTGGAGGATCGACACTCGCCCACACCGGTGCAGGGGTGCACAAAGCACTGGTCATCTAGGACCGGAATACAGCTCTGCCCACTGGGGCATTCACTGTGACCTTTGTGGAGCCGGCAAGGTCTAGGGCCACACCAGACCTGGGGAGGAGAAAGCAAGAGCCTGTTGCTTAGCAGGAATGTCCACCCATGATTAACACTTGGGAACTGCAGCAACTTTCATCGCCCTACCTTGGAGCAGGCGATCCGTCCGTTCAGGCACTGGCAGGTGTTACAGTCATCATCCCACTTGGCCCCATCAAGTATCACTCTCCCCATAGTGATGCAAGATCTCCCTGAAACTGAGAGGTGGAGACACTTAAGTAGGAGTTTTCTTTTCCACAGACTGGATCATGGTTCTGAATTTTTTACCCCCTCCCTATTAAGAAATAGTTACACCCATGTCCTCTGCCACGTGATGAGAGCTCCTCCTACAATGTCAGGCACGTGCACTGGCCATCCCCACTGACTGCTCACTTTTGGTCACTTGTGGAAAGCAGTGTCAGCATATGTGACCAGAGAGACCCTTTAACAGAGCTTTCACAGTTGAGCTGGCCCCCTGTGTGCCTGCCATCTATCGTGAAAAGCACAGGCCTCAGATAGCTGATAATCAGTTAACCAGAGCTGGACCTGCAATCACTCTCCTCACCCATCATGTTACAAGCCACAAAAAATGGACACTGCAAGCCACTGGGTTTTAAGGATTTAAGGAACTTTGCTACACAGTGATTTTTGTGGCAACAGAAATCAACTACCACCTTCCTCCTCTTCTTCCCTGCCTCCTTGAGCATGATGCCCCCATTGTGAATAGTCACACAGGCAGCCAGACCCTGGCATACCTACCTTCATGGCATTTGGTACCACTATGTCCTGGAGGGCAGATGCACTGGTAGCCATTGATCTCATCCACACAGGTGGCCCCGAAGGCACAAGGTGAAGACTGGCATTCATTGATGTCTAGGAGAAATGGGTTCAAATTTAGGCACTAAAGTGGAAAGAGTTTTTTCACAAACATTGACAAGCATCCAAATCCTAAGGACAAGCTTGGTGAATTTCCATGTATGCTACAAACAGATCACTAATTGCTCATAAAGCTTCTATTAGCCTCTGACCCCCAAAGGCCCCCACGGCCCTGACGTCTAAAGCCAGAGCCCTCAGAGAGGCAGCATGTTCCCCAGGTTCCTTCTCCTCTGACAGTGCAATTTAAAGCAAGGCTGGTAACTGCTCCCTGAAAATGGGTCAGAGTGAAAATTTTAACTCTACTAGGCCATAAAGTCTGTCCCAATGACTGGAATCTGGTAGTACCTTGTAAGTAGGTGCAGACAATGGGTAAGAGCAAGTATGTATAGCCAAGTGTCAATAAAACTTCACTTACAGAAACAGGTGGGACTGATGTGGCCCTCAGACCATCTTTTGCCAAAGCCTGATTTAGAAGGCAAAGCAGATATAATCTATCTATTTAGAACTGAAGTTCAGTCCATGTCAGACTGTGGGACTGCAAATACCACTAAAATTTCAAAGATTTTAAGGAGAAGAGCAACAAAGTATTCTACACTTGTGTGTATGTGTGTGTGTGGGGGGGGGGTGAGTTAAAAGAAGAAAAAACTCAGAATTCAGTTTCTCTCTCATTTTTGATTCTCATTTCTCTGGGGCCTGGTCAAACCCACTACAGAACAGTCTATAGAAGGCAGACACCCAGCTGCCTTCCTGAACAATAGTTGGCCATAGTTTCATGCTAATCACCAGGGAGGCACACACTTTTCCTCAGGGCTCCCGCGTAGCTTGATTGTCAAATTCTATGGCTGGCAGGCTCCCTGAGAACAAGGAAGCCACCCAGAGAATGACCAGGGAGGACATCAGCCAGGGGTATTTAAATCCAAGCTGGAGGAAGGAGATTAATTGGAACTATAGTCTTAATTGTCCTTAAAGATGAAAGATTTTAATGTTGAGGATGGACAAGTAAAGCCATGGGAACACGAGATACAGTGATACTTACTTATCCTACAGTCCGGTCCAGCAAAACCTGGGGCACATTCGCACCGATACCAGTTGTCTCCATCCACACAGGTCCCACTGTTGTAACTAAGAAATTAAAGGTAACCTTAGTTACCAACATCCAGGTGTACAATCCATCCATCATATGAATCTATGCCTGGCACAGACATCAGCTCTCACCCCAGGCCCTATCTACTGCTGGCTGTGGAGCTCAAGCATACTGATGCCTTGGTCCCACCCCCTGAGAATCTAATTTCCTAGGTCTCGCTTGCAGCCCAGGCACTGGGACTTTTAAAAGCTCCCCAGGTAATTCTCGTGTGCAGCCCAAGGTTGAGAATCATTGCTCTAAATGAAGACACAACCTGGATAATTAAAGTGTGGCCCACAGAGCAGCAGGGCGTGGTCACCTGGGAGCTTGTTAGAAACACACAGCCCCACCACAGACCTCCTGAATCCAAACCTACATTTTCAACTTCATCCCCGGAGATTCCCATGCACCTTACAGCCAAGCACCAGCTCAAAAGGCTGCCATACTTACCAAGGATGAGGGCTGCAGTCATTGGTATCTGCAAATAAAAAAAAAAAAAAAAAAAAAAAAAAAAAAAAAAAACTTAAACTTTGGGTTTCTCCGTAAAAACACCATTTACTTATTTCCATAACACCCGAATGATAAAGTCACAATTAACACCAGTCAGATATGTTGACAACCTAGTCTAAATTGGAAGCAGGCCTGGACCATACTCAGTTTCATTTGCCGTGGGACACATGTACACAGGAAGAGGCCCTGGTAGGGAACGAGGCAGGGAGGGGGGGCGGGGAGGCGGGCTGCTGGTCAGACCCAGAGCTGGGAACAGAGAAACCATCTGTCCCCACTTATCTCACGGGTGACTTTCTCATGGCCAGGTCAGGGCTGTATCCCATCAAGTCATTACAAGGACCCAGGTGATTCAGAAGCAGACATCAAACAGCAGTGTTTCTGGTTTCAATTCCAAGTCCCCAGGAGTGTCAAGGATAGGCTGCAGTAGCTCAGACAGAGTTCAAGGGAGGCCACTCACTTTGAGTACAAATAGGCCCCTCCCAGCCTTCTTTGCAGACACAGGTGAAGGATTCGCCGTTGACCACACAGGTGCCTCCATTATGACAGGGGCTTGGCAGGCAGCTACTGTTTCTGGCTATAAGAGAAAAGGTGGTTAAGGATCCTGAGGATCCAAGGTGGTCTGAGAGGGCAAGAACCAGACCCAAGAAAATGATCATTATGTCCCAAAAGCCTAGTGGCAGATAAGCACAGATGACGGCTATGGGCACAACAAACCCGAGTTAAGGCAGAAAGTTACCTATGTTACAGGTTGTTCCTTCCCAGCCACCAGGACACATGCACTTAAATGCATCCCCTTCATCATAGCAGGTACCACCATTGTTGCACGTGGCCTCATCACACTGGCTGTCACCTAAAGAAAGAAGACCTTACAGCATGAGTGTCTCTGCTGGAGAACTCCCTCCCACAGAAGATAGACAAGAGGACCCTCACGGCAGCACTTACGTGAATGGCAAGTCTTTCCCTTCCATCCATTTTTGCAGTCACAGTAAAAGTCATTGACCAGGTCTCGACATGTACCCCCATTGTGACAGGGGCTCTGGCTACAATCATTTATGTCTAGAATCAAAGAGACGCAGCTGAAGGAGAGTCCAAGTCTATTCAGGATAATAAGGGGCATCTTTCCTATGGTGAGAGCCAACCCTGGCTTTCTATGCTGCCTTCCAAGAACAAGTGAGTTGTACTAGGACTTCAATATCGTCACCCTTTTCGAGAAATTCCCCACTAGGAAGAATGGATACTAGTTATGAAGAAGGAGACAATCCTCTGGAATGCCAATGGCAATTAAAATCCAGATGGACAGAAATTACAATCAAATCAGAGAGGTTCCTTCCAGGCACTTACTCTAACTACTCATCTATTTCTATCTATCATGCCCCAGCAGTGGCTCTTCCCCATTGCTGCCCAGTAGACTTAGTAAATGACAAGGAGATACATGAGACGAGGTCATTGTGACCATCATATAATGGAAATCGCAGGAAGACCTGCAGCCAAGAAAGACTTCCCAAGGGAAGGTGGCATCCTTGTTCCACCTCCCTACCCCCCCACCCCTCACCCTAGAGCCATCTGTCCCCCAGAGCAGCAGCAGACTCACTGGCTTCACAGTAGGCCCCCTCCCAGCCGTCACTACAGATACACTTGTAGGAGTTAACACCATCGATGCAAGTGCCACCATTTTTACAGGGGTTGCTCTCACAGTCGTTAATATCTGTGGAAGGAATTGCAAGGGAAAAATGAAGAGCTGCTGAAGGGCGAAAGACACATCTTGGTGTCATCAAGCATTATCTGGTGACTTTCACAGCTGCCTCCTGAGAATGCACCTGGAAACACCACCACCCCTTTCTATGCAAAGGCTTCTAGAAGGTACCTCCCATTTTTTTTTTTTTAAGACCCTCACACATTGGCTCACTTGGTAGGCCTGGGGAAGAAACTCCACAGAAAAGAGGGACCACTCAAATCCATAAGATTCCAGAACATGACAAAATCATCTTGGGAAGCTCAAGAGGTTGCTGGTGGCCTTATCAATAGACTACTGTCCTCCATATGGGGCTTAAATGAACCTTTACTGGTCTACCTTCTGACTAAGCAATTCAAACAAATGCTCCCCAAGCTGGGTACCCACAGGGCTCCCAATTCCCAGGGGAGTCTTACTTTCATGGCAGTAGGTGCCGGTGAAGCCTTTGTTACAGTCACAGGTGAATTTGCCTCCCGACTGGCTCTTGCATTTCCCATGGGGACCACAGACGTTAGAGGAGATATACCGAACCCCTTCAGGCGTGTCGTTGGAGGCCATGGCCACAGTGCAGCTGTCAATCACTGAACACAGCAGGCTTGGGATCAGATTCCAGCCGCATGCCCACGGACAGCATTTCTAAGCAGAGAACTTAGCCCATGCCTGCCTGACTGGAGAGTGCCACTCTTGGGCTAATGAGTTAAGACATCAAGAGGCACTTGGGGACCAAAACCCAACAATGTTCCTATGACAGGTAAAATTAGGACTCCCAAGTGGACAGAATATTTTTTAAAGTTATTTTTAATCACATCTTAACATCCGATTTGTTAAATGCTTGTCAAAGAAGAAAGACCACTTCCACACTTCCTCCTCCATTTCTTCTTTTTTTCTTTTTGGTTTTTGGAAACAGGGTTTCTCTGTGTAGTCCTGGCTGTCCTGGAACTTGCTCTGTAAACGAGGCTGGCCTCTAACACCTGCCTCTGTCTCCTGAGCAATGGGACTAAAGTGTGTAACACCACTGAGCCTAGCTCTCCTTCTCTATCTTAAGTTAAAGAAAAAAACCTATATATTTAAAGTTATACTATCCAATAGGCCAATATACTTATTTTTAAATGAGCTACACACCCACCCACACACACACACACACAGTGTCAAGCACTAATGACATTCTAAATGCTAGTGGCCAACACCCAGACATGGCTACTGTAACTTATGCAAACCCAAAGCTTTCCCACAGCTATAAAGCGTCACTGACAATGCCCCTCAGAGCAATTCTTTTTTGTCACAAACCGTGCCACTTCTGAACTGAAATGATAAATGGATTTCACATTCTCTCCCTTGGGCTACTCATACACGTGGTTCTCCCAACTGGCAGTCTGACAGATTAGCTCCATATGTTCTTGTTTCCCTAAGTGATCAGATAAGTATTTTCCATCTGCAAGCCTTCCTCCTCACCATTTACCACTTATAAAGGGATGTGGAAGGAGATGGCCTAGAGACAGGTCAAGGGGAAAGAAAGGGGAATACCTTCACAGGGAGTTGTGCGACAGTGGTCTTTCAGGTGTGAGCAGTTCTTGCCCTCATAGTCCTCAGGGCACTTGCAAAAATAATCACTGGCACGATTATAGCATTGGGCACCATTCTGGCAAGGGTTGGGCTCGCAGTAATCAATGTCCAGCTGTCCAGTGGCAAGAGTAAGAAGGAGAGGATCAAAGTAACACAGGTGTTGCCATCATGTCTCTAGGCAGTAAACACCTGACCCCTGCCCAACCACTTCTACAAGGAAACACCCTATATATACAACATTCCCCCTGTATAACCCTTGGGGTCTGCCACATGCTGGGAAATCATTATGTCACAGGGCAGAGTGACAGAGCAGAAGCAGGGCTAGGTAATAAATCCCAACGCCAAGCAAACAGGCCACAGTAATCAAGAAGAAACTCATTCATCAACACCCCCTTCTACCAGCATTTGTTCTAACAGAAATTCAGTCAGTAGGGTGCTAGCTCACATCAGAGGCCTAAGAAGCAGAGAAGGGGAGGGGGGAATGAAGAATGGGGAGGCAACAAGGGAGGGTGGCAGAGAAATATTTTAATGTTAAAGCTTAGATCTGAAGTTTTTGCCTCCACTCACCTGACAGAGGTTTCCAGAGAAACCAGTGGGACACAGACACTGGAATCTGTTGATTTCATTCTGACAGTGACCCCCATTCAAGCAGGGGTTGCTAGCACATTCATCGATGTCTCTTTCACAGTGATCGCCTGCATAGCCAGGTGGACAGATACAGCGATAACCATTAACCAAATCCTGGAAAAGGAGAAGAGGAGAGAGAAACACATGCATATTTTTCTATGTATTCACAAACACAGAACATCAGTGTTTTATCATGGCTGCTGTGGTTCTGGCAACTTGCTGACATGGCCATATGCTAAGCTCTGTTGTAGACTAGCAGTTCTGAATACATGCCTTTAAATGGCTCTCAGGAGGCTAGAGTTGGCTTTTCGATTACATTTTTAATCCCACGGGGACATGGCTCTCCTAGTATCACATAAATCTTAAGATTGTTTCCATTTAAGCAATGATTTACGTACCCGACAGGAGGCGTCATTCTGACATTGGCCAAGGCAGTCATTGATGTCTAAAAAATAAACAAGTCATCACATTAGAGAGGCACATTAACATTCAATCGGGCTTACCTGAAAAGTACAGGGCTGATAAAAGTTTCAATCAGATTTTCCCTGTGCTTCCGGTGAGATAAAGTTATTACATTGGGTGGGGACCCCTCCCTAATCCTCCCAGACAAGGGAGTGAAACTTCTCATCATTGTTTTAATCACCTTATCAGAATATGCCCAATTTTAGCAGCTAACAAGCCTGATAAATTGTATGTTTTCCTTGCTGGACTAGCCTGGCCACTCCCTCTCCAAAAACATTCCCTTCCCGCTATACTGTTAGGTTTTCCTTCTATTCAGCCAGAGAGTGCCCCTAAACAGCTCATGCAAAGCAGTGGGTTCCATCCCCAGCACCACAAAGCAAGAGAAACAGAAGTTTCAGAACTGGAGCAAGGGGATGAATTAGTAAGAGCCACCATCACCCCGTTTCATAAAAAAAAAAAAAAAAAAAAAAAAAAAAAAAAAAATTAAAACAGACACAAAGTCACTCACTTATGTCACAGTTCTGACCCATCCAGCCAGGAAGGCAATCACAGTAGTAGCTGGCAATCAGATTCTTACAGGATCTGGCATTTACACAAGGCTTGGCCTCGCATTCATTTGCATCTGAAAAGAAGCAAGGATGAGCAGTGACAAATGGGGGTTTGCTCCCCCCTTCCCTCCTCAGACCCCCTGAAAAGAAACACCATAGAGTTGGTCTGAAATACGAGGCATTTTAACAAGCTAGCTAAATAAGAAATAGTAAGCATCCTCTATTTGGAGCATAGAGACCTCTCCCCAGCCTTTATCCAATAAGGGATGCTAATTGATAACTTTCCTTTGGGCTGCTGGCTAACAATAGGTCCCCAACAGAATGACAGAAAGTCACCAGGCAGTTCTGGGCAAAACCCAGTGCAGCCCAGTTGCTGGGATTTAAATGTGGCAAAAAGAATGCAGACAGCTCATTCCTCATGAGGTCATCCCTGTTTGGGACCCAGATGAACACTCCTCAGACTGACGATTGACATGGTTCAAGGAATCTAGGACTTTCCCACAGGACCTAAAAATGCTAGGCCATTTGCATGTAAGTTATCTCTCCCAGGTCCATTAGACCTTGCTAATAAATTACTTAGCATGATAGAGTGCAAATACGCGTGCGCGCGTGCGCGCATGTGCATACATACATACTCTCTCTCTCTCTCTCTCTCTCTCTCTCTCTCTCTGCAGGCCACATGATCATCTTTCCTCACAGCTCTAATGAACAGAGCCAACCTCGGCTAAGAATTATAGTCACGAGGATTTTCTTACCTAACTGACATGTCTTGCCAGTCCACTGGGGTGGGCACACACACTTGAATCCATTCACCAAATCCTGGCAGGTGCCCCCATGGGAACAGTTATTTGGAGAACAGTCATCAATGTCTGTCCAATGAGAACAAGAGAGGGGCAGCAATGTAATTTTCTTTTGATCCACTTGGCAATTAGATAATGCAACGGCACCCTCCCGAAGAAGAGCCTTCACCTAGGAACTGGATGCCTGCTACAAGCCTAAGGAGTAAGGAGGGTGATGAAAAGGCCCAGGCCTTGATTTTAGCTTTAAATCCCCCACTGCCCTAGTTCAGTTAATCCGTCCCTAAGCAGTGAGGGAAAGAGACACACACAGAGCATCAACTCAGTGGTGACAAGGGACATTCATATCTGCTTAATCTTTACTTTTCTCTTTCCTTCATGGTTCAGAGGCCAAAAGGAGGAGGCATGGAAAAGTCACTTTCATACATATGGAAAACCTTATTCCTGTGATTTGCTTACACGTTTTCCCAAAAATCACATACACAGAGGATGGAAAAAACCCCACCAGAGATCTATAATGTGTGCCGCACTCCATTTGCAAATTTGTTCACCAAGACTTCATCACAACCACAAATGGGAACTGCTACTGCCCTGGTTAAAGAAGGTACAAGAAAGGTCCAAAAGGGCTGCTGGGGTTCCAGAAGGCATGGCAAGGGCAGAAGAATCTACCACCTCCAGAGCCCACATCCTTAACCACACTACATACTGCCCTTGGGATGCCAAGGGCAGTGGTTTTCACTTGACTGAACCTTAAGGAAGGCCTCATTAAAGACCACAGACTACCTAATTCTGGTATTGTGTGTGACCAAAGCTCTTCACTGAAAAGCACCCCAATAAGATGGTCAAGCCTCATAGCCAAGCTGCAACTCAACTCCCTTTCTTGGAGCCCTACAACAACATTCAATTGTTGGTCTAAATTCTTGTCCCACAGGATTGGGGAGACAAGTCCAAAATTCACATGCAAAGGAATCCGATTCTATCCACCACATACACGTCACTAGCCACCTTAGTGGATAGGAAGGAGTGTACCACCCCTCTCTCACCAAGGTAGACATATCACTAATGCATATATTAGACCAACCCAGGTCTCCAACAACCCTCTCTCTTAACACAATAACCTTCCAGAACAGACACAGGATAAAACCCAAGACTGACTTACTTGTGGAACACGTGGGCCCAGTCCAGCCTGGAGAGCACTCACACTCAAAGCCCAAGGAAGTCTCCTTGCAGCTGCCTCTGTTGTGGCAGGGGTCAGAGAGGCAAGCGTGCTCAGCTGTGTAAGTGAGAAAGGCAGTCAATGAGGGAGGAAGGCATATGGAATACCATCCCTTCTCTCTACCATCCGGTCTCCTGCCTTGGCTACTTACTACCCTAAGCAGATTACTACAACAACAACAACAAAAGCAAGTGTGTGATGTAACTCTGCTGAGTTGTGACTAGGGTAGAAACTTTCCTACTAAGCTGTCTCATCAGATTTTTCAAGACCTGCCAGAGCTGAGGTTCATTTAAAAGCCTGCAGCCTCCACTGTCACTGTCACCATCACCTCAAAACATTAGGGATTTCAAGATGTTTCATAGGCTCATAGAAGGGCAGGGATAACAGGAGCTGTTTCATCTTTTTTACAGGTGTGTTAAGTGTATTGATTTTTCTTTTGATATTTTCAATTTGTCCTGTTTCTCCATGAATATGCATGAGGGCCACTATCAAAACAATGCCATCTTAACTAATTTTAAGTAATAATCGAGCCTCTGTTCATCAGTTGTCCAGCCCTGTCCTGCATTTCTTCACCAAGTCACTGGATTTGATAAAAATAAACCCAACATCCCCTGGTGACCATCAACATGACGCCTCAAGCTACCACTTCCCAGCTCCAAATTTTATTTTTTAAGTTTTTTTGAGGATTTCCCACAATATATTTTTGAACATATTCACCTCCTCCTCCCCAAGGTCCTCTCTCAAATCCAACCCCCCTTCCCTATCCACCCAACTTTGTATCTTAAAAACATGAAACAACAAAACTATTTTATTTTCAAATGATGTGTACAGAAAATAAGGGCAAAGGGGTCCCGCCCAGCTTGGGCCACTTACCAATTTCACAGTTGGGTCCTGAGTAGCCCTCGGGACAGGAACACTGGTATTTGTCAGGACCAGTGTTGCTACAAGTTCCCCGGTTGAGACAAGGCTGATGGGTCCCGCAGTAATTCAGATCTGCCAAAAGACCCCAAAATAATGAAAAAAAGAAAACGGAAAAAAAACCACCAAACAAACAATACAAAAAACTGCTAACTTGTCTCAGGTATAGGCCATTCCAGTTTTTAAAATATGGCTCACCCCTCCCCGCCCAAATAATCAACCCACCACATTAAAGGTAAATTCAAATAGTCCTAATAAGAGCCCTTGCAAAAAGTTTATTAGGGCCAGGGGTGTAGCTATAGCAGAGCACTAGCATCCACAAGACCCTGGATTTAGCTCCAGCAACACCAAAAAAATAGAAGTGGTATAGTTCTGTTCTATTACTTAACTTCAGTACCCCCAACCCCTGCCAAGTCCTCATGCCACCCCCAAGGCTCCACAGTGGTCATACCTTTGTCGCAGAGCTGTCCACCCCAGTTGGTCTCACAGAGGCATTGCCAGGGTTCATTGCACGTGCCATGGACACAACCCGGGTGCGGGATGCACTTATCACAGTACAGGCCCTGCCAACCATACTGGCACCTGCAGACAGACAGCATAGCCCTCCCTTAGCGTTCTGAGCAGCCAGGGATGCACACAAATATAGCACACAACTGTTTCTGCTTTGTCATGAAGGACAGGATGGCAGACTTTTCAGGCTTGCAGGGAGTTCTGTATGAATACTTTCACAGTTGGGCCAAAGTTTGTCCTCTAGCCTCCCCTGACAAAAGGAGAGCTTCTGGGGAGTGGCCAGCATGGGGTGCCCTCTACAAATCCATTCTCTTCTCAGGCTCCCAGGACCAAACTAAAGGGTAGGGACTGGAATAAATCAATCCAGGACAGATCATACAAGCGGAAGGAGCCACTGGTGACAACAGCCATACAACTCTGCATGCTCCATGTGACGCCTTACTGCACCCCTCCAGGCAACCTCAGTGCACTGGATTCAGTGAGACAAGAGGGTTGTAGGGAAGCACCTCACTGGTTTTGTAGAATCAAACCTCATTCCAAAGACCTGGATCTCTAAACCCATTTCTGTAGGAAGGAGAGAGGAGCAACAGTGCTGGGAGACAATTCCATAGGCAATTCATGACCCATGACTCTGGCCTGGCATGCCGATTTATAGTCATTTCCCACTTTAGGAGGAAAAAAAAGGAGGGGGGTGGGGGGGGGACCAGGATCAGCATAGTCTACCTAGCTTTGGAGGAGATGAGTTTTCCTCATAAGTACCTTCTTGGTTCAACAGACACTTTTTGAGGTCAGATGGAACAAACAAAACAAAAACACAAATATAGACCTCCACCTGGGGTGGGATAGGGCAAACCACCCTCAAACCACCCTCCCCTCAAGTTTCAAGCCCTCTGCAACTTGAACCTCCCTCTCAAAAAATCAATCTCTAACAAAGGGGCTGGGGAAAGGCAGGGAACAGCAAGCAGCTTGATAAAGGCATGAAGATGGGGCAAATGTAGATCCTGCAGAATCAGCCTAGAGCAGAGCCTAGGGAAAGGCAGGATCAGATCCAGCGCCTTAGAAATCTCTCAGCTGTGACTCTTGGGAAAAAAAAAAAAAAAAAAAAAAAAAAAAAAAAAAAAAAAAAAACCTGGTGGTCCTCCCTCCCCAACCAGAAGGAAGGGCTTTCTGTTCCAGAGAGCTGGAGGCAAAGAGCAAATCCTGGTCATGGGAAAATTATAGAAATCTAGCTATTAGCTAATCACCCAGGCTGAGAAGCCACTGAACCCTTGAGAATCCTGACTGCTTCCTAACTTCTCAAGACAGCCATCCAAGCTCAAACACCAACAGCCACTAGAACGTGGGGCTTAAAGTTAATCAGACACAGGATTCTCGAGTCTGTCAAGGAGACCATCCGTTGAAATGACGGGTCACTATTTAAAAGACTGACCTAAGAATAGAGTATGTCATTTGGTGGGAATAATTTTCTTAAGAGGCAGATATCCAAGCTAATGGGAGGTAGGTGGGTAGGAAGCCATTCTGTAAGATCAGTACTCTTAGCCTAAAAAACATAAGGGAACTGATGAAGCCACAGCAATACTGCCTGCCCTCAATGCCCCAAGTGAAGGATGGCTATGCTTCTTCGCTTTGCCTAATAAAACCAAGCAGGACAGCTGAGGATCCAACCTAACCTCCTAATTAATGAAGGTTCAATGCCCAAGCATAAAAAAAGCAACCACAGGAGGCCATGGAGGACTTCAAACGAAAACAAATAAAAATCCTGACCCTAACTGAGACATCTACCAAGTTATCCCAGTGTAATGATAGATGATTAGCATTCTCATGAGAAACTGAGAGACTTTCCTGAGAGGATGATTCATAATTAAGTTTGATATTATTGGCAGGCTGGCACTAAACCAGCCTGTATACCCAGGAAGGGGCAACCTGAGTCTGCCTGGGCACAACAAAACAAGTGAAGTTTTCTCCTGGGGGGGTGACTCAAAAAAAAAAAAAAAAAGCCCATGTAATACATAATCCAAAAGACAACTTACAGGTAACTTGCCATGCAACTATTTCTGGAGCAGGACCCAACCTGAACTTCCTTAGCTGGAAGGTTCTGTTTTGATATTCTTTCAAGGCAGTGAGAAGGAACTGGGCTGGAAGACTATGCAAATGGCGTGTGGGAAAGTTGCACCTTAAGTAAATAAGGGCACTGGTGCATGTCTGGGCAGGGAGTGGGAGGTGAGACTTCGAAAGAGAAAGGGCTCAATTCTGGAAACAAAGCCTGTTGTTCTGGCTGGGAGGGACCTCCCCTGCCCAGCAGTGTGTTTATTCTGATGACAGTAGCACACATCTCAGCCGGCCTTGCTGATACTCATCTGAGTAGCAAGCAGGCTTCAAGGCCCTAGTATAACTGCTGTTCTCACTTTCTCCAGAACGGCTGGCTGGCTGGCTGGCCTTCACTAGCAAAGTCACTGTAGGTGGGTTTCGGCCCGGTCTCTGACAGAGATGCTGTTAGACGCCACAGTCAGCTATGACCAGGCACGTCTCTAGTGGGCAAATCCTGTTCAGGCTTCCTGCAAATCAACTTTCAAGAAAGCAGGAAGAAACAACTCCAGGACAACCTGTTCTTAGTTTACTTCCAGCTGCCTTGAATCTCTCTTCAGCCTTAAGTTAGCCCTTCCATGGCTCAGGAAGAGAACACAGGGCACAGTTAAGAGTCATCAAGGTCAAGCCTCCAGGTGACCATTAAAGCAGCAGTCTCGGTGTTTACTAAAGGAGAAATCACTCAGTAACATTGTCAAATGCACACTCCTAGGCCCAACTAAAGGCTGGGAAGTCAGAGGTAGTTGGGTGGCACCAGCGACCTGTACTTCTAACAGTTCCCTGTGAATTCTATAGTTTGGGGGCAACAAAACAATGAGGTCCACCACACACCCTCCAAAATCAAAAGCTACATTTCAGTGAGAGCACCAGGTACCTCATTCTTTGAGTTTGTGCCTTTAAAAACTGTTTAAAAACTGTCCTCGGCTCAAGTCAGACAAGCCTTCCAAAAGCAAAAGTGACAGGACCAACAGGTTCACTTAGTGTCTCATTGAATTTGCTAATTCTTAAAGGCTTGGGGAGAATAAAGCATGGGGCCAGTCAAAATGCCACAGACACCAAAGGTATTTCCTGAAACAAGGTTTTTCCAAATTGGCATAATGTACATTTCAAAAAGCCCCCCAAACCGGCATCGGAAGGGGAAACAGGCAGGCTAGGTTTCCGTTTGGTTTCAGTATTGTCCCAGACCATAAAGAACAGACTTCAAAGGCCAGCAGCAAAGTCTACATTCATCAGCCTCAACTGAGCAGATTCCAGCACAGCCATTAACCTCTCAGCACCAGCCCAGCTCCTGCCTGCAAAGGGGCCAGGAGATTGTACTAATCCCATTCTAAAGAATGCTGGACTTTCGCCTATTGATGGGAAAAGTGGGGGAGGGTGACAGAGGAAAAGCCAGGGTGGAGGAGGAGACACAAGGAAACAAAGCTACATCCCAGTCCAGTCCATCAGCACTTAAGGAAGATTACAAACATGTCTTATCAATTTACAGAACAGTTAATACATGAAGATGCCAGCTATGCCCGTTAAGGTTTTTTGTTGGTTTTTTTTTTTCCACAAAAGAAATGCATTCCACGAAACAGCTGGTATGATTTAATAAGCTTTGGATGTGCCTGTTTTGTTGTGTGTCCCCCCCAACTTATTCACCCTCCCACAGAAAGAGAGGCACATTCACAATGAAGTCAGTCTCTGTGCTGCATCAAAGAGGAAAAAAGAAAAGAAAAAAGAAAAAAAGGAGAAATTACTGAAGATCAGTCCGTCATTTACCTGCAGTCACCTGGGAGCTTGCAAGAACCATGCTTGGGACTACAGCCCTGCCGGCATATAGCTGGGAAAAACAGAGAGCTTCATTAGTACACAACACTGCCTATGCCTTGCAGGCCACTGGCGTGAAAATGGCCTAGTATATAAAACTGGAGACCCAAATAACAAACCCAGGCTTAAACTTCAAGGCCATGTAAGCAGATCATCAAAATACAATACTATCTGTGGGCAAAAATGAAGGTACATGATGGGGGAAATCCCTTATCATGTCTATTCCTTGAGCTTTGCCTGGGCCCAATTTCCCTCACAAGAGACAGATAATAAAGACATCCTGCCTTCCCCTACCCCAACACCGCCTCAACCACAGTATCTTCAGGTGAGCCTGCCACTAAATGCCTGGTTTCAACCATCCCACGGGGCTAAAGAACAAGTCTGGCTAATCTTGTGGCCAAGTATCCTCAGAAAGCAATTCAATACTTGCTCATGGGAAAGAAAAAAAAAAAAAATCAAGCAGTCACTTAGGAAAAAACAAAAACCATTGACATTAGAGAACTTAAGTATTTGCTATTTAATTTTAAAATGCAATTATTTAAAATATAGTGAGCAATTCCTTCTGTCATCAATTCCAGAAGTGCCATTCTTTAAACAAACTACTGTCATCAACTACTGAAGAAAGGAATACTGCCTAAGAGACCATCCCCCACACTTCAAAGAGAAACAAAGGAGTTTATCTAATTATTGTGCAAATCAGCAAGGTACATCATATGTCCATGAGGGGATAGCCTATGAGCTGGAGTCCCCAACTCTATTGCTAGGAATTAGAATTGTTAATCCCAGTAGTGTAAGGGACAAAAGACAGTAAGGGACTTTAAAAGCTTAGACTCCTTTGGATGGGTTCAATCATAAGGAATATGAAAGTACAAGGTAATGTCCTAACCCCTCTAAGGCCACAATCTCACAGATGCCCAGTGAAACTTGCTGCAGTGACACATGAGCTCAGGACAGTCATTCCCCATGGCACTGTCTGTTCAAACATCTTTGGCCTGGCCTGTTCCTGTCTGGCATAAGACTCCTCAGAAACGGTCTGAGGAGGAGAGGTGGTAATAGGAGAAAGGAATGGGGAGGCAGCAGATGAGGCCAAAGGAGGACTTGAGCATGGATATGGTCTCAGCTGGGGTCTGACTTCAGGGACATCCCAGGGGAACCTCTGGAGTGTGAATCTTATTCCACAGTGTTAAAGCAAAGGGGCTGGCCTGTGCAACAGCCCCCTCCCGGAGTCAGCCACTCAGTAACTCTTCACTGCAGGGATGGAGCAGAGAGTGGTTCCTGCTTGGCCAAGGACAACTCCCTGGAGAAGGAGCAGCTGCGAGCTGTTAGCAGCCAACACTCACAGCAGCTGGGGGATGGGGACACCAGCTGGTAGAGGGGATCTGGACAGGGCACCAACAGAATCTTCTACACACAGCATCTTCATGCTTTGGTCCAAGATAACAGTAACACCCCGCCCTTCCTCCAGACTGCTGTAAGGGTGGGAACCTGGCACCAAAATCGATTGGCCAACAGCATTTGCCAACCCAGCCAGCTGCATGCACACATACCTTTGTTACACTCAGGACCCATCCAGCCTTCCATGCAGGTTTTGTTGCCATTCTGGTCACAGGCATAGTGTCCAAAGAAGTCATCTCTAGGCCGACAGAACTTATTGCAGCCAAAGCCATAGTAGTGGTCATCACAGGTCACTCGGATCTGATACTCAAAGTGGGCAATCCCCGTATTTTGTTTCAGTGTCTGCCATTGCCGGCTGGGGTTTATCATGCCTGAGTGAGAGGCCTTTTCAATTATGCTATCAGGTTCTAGAGGCAAAAAAAAAAAAAAAAAGCTGAGACTCATTAACATCACAATAGCATCTTCTGCTCTGACCATTTTGGCTACTTTCAGGCTACAAACACAAAAATTGAACAGTTATGGAAAAAAGCTGTACTCTTTTCCCTGTATACCAGTTCATCACTTAACCTCATTGCCAGGTGCTTCATATATTTTCTTGCTTGGAAATACCTTAAAATTCATGGAACTTATCCCCGCTCTACAGGCACTCAAGTCATGAAAGTTAGTCTTGTGCTGTTCAAAGCTGCAACAAACATGTTGAACGAATCTGCCCGTGCATGTGGGGCCAGCAACAAAAAATATCATAAGAAGGCTAGTGCAGATTCCGAATATGCACACAAGCAACACACCCCATCCCCGGAAGGTTCCCCAACTCCCTGCCAGCAAAGCCTTGTGGGTCTGTCCCGCAACAGCACAAAGAACTGCACCATAGTCTGATCTCTGCCCAACAGATAAAATAGTGTGTTTTAAATGGCCTTCAGTGACAGAGAACATTTGTATTTGTCCCTGTGCTCTGTATCCTTTTGCTGACTTTCCTAACATATTGCTGGTCACACTCTTTTGCAAAAGCTCCTAAATATTAAAGAAGGCTGCCCCTTGGGAAATTTATTTGTACAGAAATTTTACCATTCCAGATAAGGTTAGCAATCTTTATTTCCATTTTACTTTCAAGATTCCCTTGGAAAAGCTCTATTTTCTTCACTGAGAAGCCAAGGGGTGGATTGCAACACACAAAAAAAACAAAAACATTAATAAACAGAGTAATTCAGCCTGCAGACGGGTAGGCTGAGGCATCATTGTGTTTGTGTCTGTTTTAAGTCAGGCTCCTTAAAAAAATGCCTGCAAGGCAAAGTAAATGTCTAGAGTCCAAGCAGTTCTCAGAAGCAGTAAGACCTGGCCTCTACACTGAGGTCACCTGCAATCCAGTCTAAGAGAAGACACAGGTACTGAAATAGCTTCAAACCCCAGGAGCAAGGAGTGCAGAAGGATGAGAGCAGGCAACAAGGCTCTAAGTCAGCACTCAGCCTGGTGCTATGTTTGTTTTCTTAAACCTGCCAGTCATCACCTTGTCAAATTCAAGGCCACCTTGGAGAGGCAACTTAGGACCTACTTGCAATGTCTTTGTGATTCTTGCACACCCACACCACTGTTTTTCTAGGCCTTGGGCCTGTGCTCCTTGACAAAGCTAGACAAGCCCTACAGGTGACCAGGGGAAGAACTCTTGGGTGGCTCCATCCACAACCAACACAGCCCCAGTCAGTCTGGACTGTGGTGTGGGCAGGAAAGGTCTTGAACAAGTCCATGTACCTTCAGGCTTACACAGCAGCAACACACAGAGGAACCACGTGCAGGTAACACTGTACTTGAGTTTTTGCAAATATACACAGACCAAAGAATGGCAAAAAATGCGCCTCTCCGTTAACTGCCTGTTTGTTTTGCAGGTTCGGTTAAGAAATGTAGTGGGCTATTACCTCATAGTTATAAGAGCATAATGAAGGAATTGTTAAACACAGTAGCCATGTTACAAAGGTGCCTTAGCTTCTCCCAGGCAGCTATCAACCATCGAGACCAGGAGCATCCTGAGCAGCCAAACGATGTGGAATTCTATAGTTAGTGCACTTTCTACCTATTTTCAAGAAACTCTGATAATAACTTCAGACCCCTGAGGGGAGCTAACAAAGCAATGGAAACAACTTCACACCCTCTGAAGCAAGAGGCTTCAGTGTATGTGGCATGTTCTGTGCTGTCTGGGTTATGGAGCCTGAGTTTATTGCGTGATGATTCTACATTGCCACCTGACTCGGCTCTCCCACTAGTACCAGTTCCAGCCTAAGGACTGGAAAAGAATGTTAGCACACGTCCCGGTAAATTTCCATGGCATAAAGATGCATCATGAAGCATACACACATCCTCCAAGAAGAAAGGAGGAGGGAACACAAAGAACACAACTCAAGGACCAACCGGAAAACTTAGATAGTGTCCTTAGTAGAGAAGTCTCAGCTGTGTGGAAACCTTGGTCTCAAGGATGCCTGGTTATGCTTACATATCCATCAATCAACTAAATATTACCGTATACTAAAATCCTTTGCTCAGGTGGAAAAAAAGAAACTTGGATCTTTATATGCTACAGTCCTGATCTATACTAGAAATGACTGGGAGACTGAGGGTGGGAGCCAGCCTTGGAACCTCAGAAGCACACCTGAGCATAATCTGGTCTAGACTCTGCTCCTTAGGGTTAATGGCAGAGCTGATATAAAAAGGAATTTTGTTCCCAAACTCAGGGATCTGCCTATAAGTTATCTACTAAGGCAGAGTGTTTGCATCTTGATGAACTACCAAAGATCAGCCCACACCATTGGGCTTCTTGGCATCCTTAAATGCTTTGGAAGGGCAGAGGGTAAAGAAAATAAGGAGCCAAATATCCCAGGAAGAACAAATAGTACACATAAAGGTCCTGAAAAAAATGTGATACACTCAAGGATGAAAACGGTTAAAGAATGCCCAGGATACAGAAACAATAGACATGGTGTGTTAAGACAAGTCATGAGGAAAAGGAAGAAAAGGCACACCAAGATCTGACCCAAGGGCTTTGGAAAGCCATTAAGCAGTTGGCTTTAACTATTAGGATGACCATTCAAATGTCATGCTCAAGAAAAAGGAGGAACAAGGATGGAGATGATACTGCAAGTTGACCAGAGCCAATAAGGACAGACCATGTGGCAGTCATGCTACCTTGGATGCAAGCAGGCAGTGAGGTGGACCAGAGCAGCAGCAGGAGACATAGCAGGAGGCAGCTGGATTCATATGGAGAGCAAAAGGACAAGACTGTCCAGAAGTTGGAGGCTGTGTAGATATGGATGACAAAGGAGTACATAGGGGACTTTCAGCTGTATGGCTTATGGCACTGGTTGTCCAAACACTGATGCTTATTGCCCAGAAAGGGTTCCAATAAAGGGGTTGGAGAGGACAGACCCTCCCCCCCCATTTGGTTTTGACCACTGAATTTGTGATACCTTGGAAATATGATTGAAAGACACAGAGGGTGAACAGGAAAGTAGAGAAATCACCAAACTCATAATGTAAGTTTCCTAACTGCAATGGCAGCTGTGACTATGTCACCCACTTTTCCTAGAAAGTGAGATCTGAAAGCACTTTGTTCTCATCTCAGTTTTCCTTGCCTCCTATCCAGGGACTAGTTATCTTGAGAGATCCAGGAATCCCAAAGTGTAGGGATTTCCACTGCCAAGAAATGTGGATAACCATGGGGAACTATGGATGGGCTGCAGGTCCCCGGAGGTACAGCTCTGGAGTGTGAGATGACAGATTGCATAGCCACTGTTCCACAGATGCTGGGGTAGGAATCCTCTTCCCAGGTCCTATCAGACATCCTGACCAACTCAAGGATGGATCCATCCATTGGAATATTTGAACTGCCAGTAGAATACCATTCCTACACTAGTGTGTGTACACATGTTCCACTTATTCTATTCCCCTATGCATTGTATGGTATATAAGGTAGAATGATGGAGTGTCTACACAGAGCTCAGTGTTGGGACGGGGCCCCGGGGGGGCGACAGACAGATATCCATAACCTTGGCTGGCATCAACCATAAGCAAGCCTTACTGGCAAAGAGCCCTACCACCATGCTCAAAGTGTAAGTGACCTTCACAATGAGGCAGCTCAGATCCTGGCCTTCCATAAGCTCCTTCCTAGGCAGAGATAATGTCTAAATAGCTGGATGCCAAACCAAGAGGACATCCCAAATGACAGACAGCCTGCCTCACATGAGGGCTGGACAAGGATTCTGTGACCCTAAGAGGTTCATGGATCCAGCCATGCTGAACTGCCCACTGAATTTAAATGCAGCCATCACTATGCCCATGCTGGATACTGACTACCTTTGACTATAATAGAAAAGTACAGTGATTTTGACGAGGGAGAAAGATCTCATTAGCAGTGCAAAATATAAGAAACAAGCTAGAGAAGCACAAGGCATGTGACATTCTGGGAGCAGAGAGCGAAGGTGAAACTCTGGATTCTTCCTGAACAAAACAAAAAATTTCAGAGAGAATCAGGTTTTCCAATGACAACCCGGCTCTGGTGATAAAAAGAAAAAAGAAAAAAAAAAAAAAAAAAAGGAACTGTCTATTTTGATGTGGGTGATAAAAAAAAAAGGAACTATCTATTTTGATGTGAGGGAAAACATGTTAAGTTACAGTTGACCACTGTCACCAGAGCACACCTTCACTGCCTCGCCAACCCCCACGTACCCCTCTGCAGGCCTGAAAAGCAACCTGCATAGAAAACAGAGCCATCTTTCAGAAGGGACAGGGCGGGTCGAGACTTCGGGGGCTCTGAAATTCTGCTTCAATGGGAGGTTTGTGGTGAGCAGTGTGGGAAACTCAGACTGGCTTGAGGCTCACCTGCCCACCCAGTGAAATTTAAGGTTGGTCTTTAGAGCCCAGCACCTCCCCTCTGTGGCTTTATCTTTCTGATGAGAGATTAAATGCTCACTTCAAATTTAAATGGACTTTTAAGGAGTCATTACTTTGATCCTTTAGCAGTCTACAAGGTTTTAAAGTTGTAAAACCATTAAGATCTCCATCCAGAGATAATCTAGGTCCCTTTTTGCAAGGACTGAGTAAACCCAGGGACTCTATTCTGGCTACTTAATATTTCAGATGGAAGTTCTAGGAAGTTAAGGAACAGACTCCACAGACAGGTTCAGCCTGGGGTGGGGGAAGGGCGCTGGGGACTTTGGTAGATCTGCCAAGCACTGCACTTCCACAAGCATTTAAAGAAGAATTCCCTGAGGAGATACTTACGAACAGTGTCGTTACTGGAATCCCATGCCTCCACCAGCAAAGTGTAGGACCTCTGCAAGACAGATAAGCAAAGTTCAGTTACTCAGATATAGGGGGTCAATGCTTAGATGCTGCAGTCTCTGGGCCTCCCTGTGCACTCTGCCTGCAGCCCCAAAAATAGAAAACCAAAAAGGCAACTGGATATTTGAAGCCTGACCAACCTCTACTTTTGTCTTTAGCACTCATCCCAGGTTGACAACTCAACTTTCACCCAGCAGGGGCATACTGGGGCTCAGGCCAAGCAAGCAAGCAAGCAGCCCAGAGTCCTGATCAGAAAATAGTGTACCTCCCTATATGGGAACACGTAACATACAGGTTTCCCAAAACTTTCCAGTCCCTGGTTCTAGTGCATGAGAAAAAAAAACCCACACAAAGAATTTATCCCAAGCCAACCTACTCAGGTATTTGTACTGAGAGAGAACTGCTAGGGTTACGCTTTGGGCCCTCGTAGTGGCAGTCCCTAGGGAGGCCCCCTTTTCCTTTTCAGAACCCCTTTGAAAGCCCTGTCTGTGTGAGACCATCCCAGCTCCCACAAGTATCAGGTGACTCTAGGAAGAAGGAGGGGTAGGCTCAAAGAATTAAGACAAAGGCAGCAACCTAGCTTGGGTGGTGGGGTGGGTTGTGGCAGTCTGTGGGAGAAAGTACAAAGGAGAAGCCACTGCACACCCATGGGGTATATTTATTGATGAACGTATCTGTCAATAAGATCTAACATTCCTGGAATAATCAGTTAGGTAACTAAACAAATTCCCTGGATACTGGCAAGATGCCAGCTATGCTACTGAAGCACTTGCTATCTTCTCAGCTTGTCTCTGAATTCTTCCCGCTTCCCCCAGACCCAAGTCATTAGCAAATTTCCACTCTGACTCAAATCTTCACTCACAACAAGCACGCAGGTGAAGCTTGCTAAGCCTAACTGAGGACTGGAGAAATATGGTGGAGAAAAGGAACAAAACAGGTTTGTGTAGCCTTGCTCTGCCACCGCCATGAACCCATGCAATGCTTATGTTGCTCAGATAACCACAATGCCACCAGAAACACTGCTGCCAGGGGAAGAGATGGCACTGATAGGGTAAAGGCATGGGAGAAAAAGCAGGAGGTTTCATTCATAAATCAAGGGCAGCTTATTACTCTCTCAGTGACACAGCAGGTCTGTTCTGACTACAAAAATATCTTGTGATAGACCCTGCCTTGGAATTCAGCCGAAATATGTTTCATACTTACAGCAGGATTCCATTTCGTTCACTGATAACTGTGGGAAAATGCTCACAAAGCAAGCAAAACCAGGCAAGCTGGGACACATACCCAGCCCTCTTCTGTTAGTGGCTGTGGGTCCAAATACATTGTTATTGTCGTTAATATTTTATTAGTGAAAGTTACACCTTATTTACAGCCTCTTTAAGTTTCCTAGGACTTCCTACAAATTATAGGACTCTTCTCGAAGAGCACAAGAAATTATATTTCTCTACTGATTCATGGTGAGAGCCAAGTCAAAATGAGGCCAGATGTGTGGCTGATTCTGTATAATTAAGCCCTTCATTTGTTGGTCACGTTGAGGCCCACATCCTTCACTTCAACAATATTGCTGTAATTAATCCTCTGATTAAATGCATTGATACCAAGAGTTTTGACAGACTTGCACAAGCACTAAACACACATAATACCCACAAACACCACTGCAAAGGAAGGTGCCTTGGAACCAGCTGGCACAGCAGTATTCACTCAGCTTCATATTCAAGGCAGAAGGCATCCTTAGACCTTGCACAAGAACTTGTAAGATCAAGCCATCTTCGAGGTTCATCTCGGATTCAGAAGTTGCTGACCAACACTACCCAGGCTGGAACTGGGACTGATGGTATGATCCCTAATCCAATGTCTTCCTTTTGGGAGGTGCAAGTGGGCTAGAATTAAGGGTAGGGGCTTGCAGTGACAGTAATCAAAGCCTGGACTTTGCTCTCTCTTGAGAGCCTGGATTAGAGTTCCAGGTCTCCTGGGGCATGGGTGCCCTGCCTTTAGAGAAAGGATTCCCTCCAAGGCTTTTATTAAGAGGCATTCTTCCCTCCCACTCCATCCCCACACTATAGATCAACAATCAAGATAATTTGGCAATGATTATTAGTTGCTAGGGAGCTTTAATTTTTTCCCAGGCCCACGCCTGACCTCTGTACATCCCCAGCTTATATGTCCGAACACAGATTCTAGACCATGTGTATCTCATGTCACTCAAGGAGATACCCAGCCACAAATCAGCCACATGTGACTGGCTGCTACAAATCATCCCCAGCAGAGGCCAAGTCCCCAGTCCTAGGAGGGTTTGGAAGGGGCTTAGAAAGGCAAGTTTTGCTCAATCTCAACACCCAAAAACCAAACAAAAAGCAAATCCTGAGTTTTGCTGGGGTTCAAACAATAGCAGACTTTGAGGAGTCACCTGGGTTTTTTCTTGTGTCCTCAGTGTCCCCAGAGTAGTAGTTTGGGGGCAAAACAAGAGGCAGGATAGTTACCAGATCTTCCATCTGGATTTGTAAGTGAGTCACTTTCTGGCCCTTCCCAGCCCCAGGCTCAAGGACATCTGGCAGTGTGGCAGCTGACTTCCATTCTTGTGAAGCACCAAAAAGGACTGGTCAGCTTTCAAAATGGCCTTTTGGGAAATTTTCATGCAATTTTACCTACAGAAGAGTCTTGGCATCAAAGTCCCCAAGGCATCCCACAGTCACCAGGTTGCCTTACTCAGGCTCGGTCACCAGGCACCTCCTCCTCCTATCCTCCACACTTGAGCTGCTGGTCTAGGGTTCATTCTTTGTCCTGCCCCACTCCATGGTCGTTACCTTGGCACTGGGCAAAGCAGTAAGCACTTAATTGCCACATTAAGCAGGGGGGATGTGAGAAACAAAGGTGATTGTGTTGGCAGCTGGGAGCTTCCTTTTCCTGGCAACAGTGGCAGCCAAACCAAGCCCTAAGAAGTGGCTGCCTCCCCTCCTGCCAAGCTGACGGACACAAACAAACCGCCATCCAAACAGCACGCGTGTGGAGTCCAAAACCCCAGACCACTGCGACAGACAGGCCCGCCAGAGGCATGCTCATCCTGGGAATGCCCCGAGTGCCAACACAGCCATTGTACATAGCCTGTTGGCCCCGGGTCTGTCAGGGGCCCTGCATGCGCTCTGCTGACTCAACTGTTGCTTCCTGTCACTTGTCCTGTATTAGCAGTATTTCTGGAGAGGCCCCATTCTTCTCTGTAATCCTCACTTCAGTCAGTCCAGCCAACTCTATTGTACTGCCTGCGTCTGGGTGGCCAGAGTATAAAATATTCCAGTCACAAAACATGTGAAACAAAAAAGGTTTCAGAGAGTCCATGTGTGGGCACACACAATCCCTGTCTTTTGGGGTTTTGGCAAGGTGAGGGGTGAAGAAAAGACCACTCCCCTAGAGCATGCAAGCTGAGGCTCTAGTCATAGAAAGCAACCATTTCTGTGGGGTTTGACATGTCAATAGAGAGTGATCTGGTTACAAAGGGTGATTTTCTCATCAAAGCCCACCTCAAAGGCTCGCCAAGGGGCCCCAGAGCTCATATCCAGATTTGAGACTCTCAATGAGAGGCCCCTAACCCCTTTCCCATCATTACCCTTACCTGTTTGAAAGGCATCCCACTGATAATTAAATGCACCAGTTACAAAAGGGTGGTGAGGTTAATAGATAGAATACCAAGAAGCCAGCCAAGCACAACCATCCAGTTCACACAGAGCAAGCCCGAACAAGAAGCCTTTCTACTTATTTACCAAAAGTGCATAAAAACTGGGCTGAGCTGGTAGAGGACTCAGTTTGATTATTTACATGCCCCCTTTAACCACTAGGAGCCACCCTGGGAATGTCTTCCCCACACATGTGCTGCTCCAGTAAGAGATGTTACGGACACCATGAATAACAGCCAAGGGGGCTGCTGTGGGCCAAGCCATAATCAGAAGCCAGCCAGCAACAGTTTCTGAACCCAGGACCCATGTCCCTCCCCCCCCCCTACTATGTTAGAATCTTCACTTTCATGCCTCCCAAATACATCCTTCAGCCCTTGGCAGAAAAGGTTAAGTCGATTTTGTTTTAATGATTTTTTAAGTATATTTAAGAGCTGGAATCCCAAAACCTTGGGTTGGGTGATCTCTAGTACTTTAGCAAGGAGAATTCTCAGGACTAGTTGTCATTATGGATTATCAAGCTAGCTGTATGCACACCCACGGTTTATGCATCCTCACATTGTTAAGTAATCTAGAAGCCTGACACTGGGACACCAAGTTTGGCCCTTCTTCAACAGGAACAGCGGCTACTTTGAATTTGGCTGGCCAAGCTCTCTGCTTGCATTCCTGTTTTCACATGTGAAATGTGAAGACTCCTTATGGCCTTGGCCTTCTTTTCTCACAGTCTTCTCTTCCATGGTAAATTTCCCACTTGTTCTCTGTACAAAGTGTTCCGAAGGTCCCAGTACTTGTAAAGATGTTAAGCAGCGTTCAGATTGTTGGCTTTCTGGGAAGTTATGTATCTAAATACATTGCTGTGGCCTCTTCTTCTGACCCACTCAGCTTCCAACAACAGCACTGAACCTAGAGCTTCAGCATGTTCTACAAATATTCTAAGTCCCTATAGAATTATGGGTGTGGAGCTGGTGGGCTGCAAATTCCTGTAAGTACTAGAGGTTTGATCAAGTTGCTAAGAGACAAGAAAAGGGGGAAAACACAGACAGGGTTATACCTGCAAGAGAAGGAAAACTATTAGAAACCAAATAAGTACTGGGGGACAGGAGTCCATGCAGGTTACAGCTGTTCTACTGTGCTTGCAAGCTACCCTATCTCAATATTCACCCCAAGTCCAGTACTGTAATATAAACATGTTTGAGGCAGATTTCCTAAAGCAAAAGAATGTTCTCTCCATACATAGGGCATCCTTTGCGCTGAGTATATACACAAAGGTGTTGTTTACACACACGTTGAGCACACAGGTAAGGTACAAAAAAGCCAACTTAAAGAGAACCTTATTCCTCTGTCATCCATAGCCAAAGACTGGTCATTTACATTCTGTGATTAGCCACCTGATGGCAACTTGACTAACTCTGGTTACTCAGACTGTAAGTGTGAGAAGGGCTCAAGCAGGCATCCTTCTGCTATGTTACAATCACATTTCACTGGCTTTTCCTAAAATAATTGCAGTTGAGCTCAGCAAGACTCTGAATGGGGTCAATGGTATTTAAAGATAAAGCCAGATACTCCAGTTGTTTGACCCAAGTCATTGCAATTTAGGGCCACCAATGTAGTTATATGACTAAGGTTTAAAAAAAAAAAAAGCGTAATTGCACTAATGCATTTTTAATGAGCAGGCACTACTGGGATTTTTGAACTAATTTGGGGAGGTGCAAATTAACCATTTCAGTGATTTATTAATGGTTATTCCCAAATCATTTCTTGTTAAGCCCAATTACCTACCATAATGATGTTCTTCTTATCACCTAGTACCCCAAATTGAGAATAATAAATCAAGCTGGTTGATGTAAGTTGAGCTCCCTTGCAGCATGGATGACAACACAATCAGAAGTCACTGACATAAAGCTAAAAGACTGGGACCAGAGCGGGATGATACCAGGTAGGATGTAACCCAAGGGGGATATAACCAGATGTGATACTGAAATAGCAGAGAAGCCCACTTCAGAGCATCTCACACGCTGGGATGCAGATTGTGTTTCATATCTGACCAAATCATTTCCTCCTCTTCCTCTCTAGACCACGAAAGCGGGCAATAGTATCAAACAAAAGACAGGAATTACATGACCTTCTTCACTGGACTAGCCTTGCTAACCACAGTGTTTCCCTTCCCTTGTAAGCCAATTTAGGAGGACTTAGCCCAAATGACAACTATGCCTGCTTAGGGGTTGGCAGCTTATGTGGCTAAGAGGCCAAGGTAGCCTGGAGTTTCTGTTTGCTTTTTAAACTCTGTCTATGCACCACATTTCACTGTTACCGATCCAAGAAAAAAAAAGTTCTTTTGGTGTTTTTTGTTTGTTTGTTTTTGGCACTTCGATTCTCTGGCAGAGAGCAGAGAGCTACACTCCCAACCCTGGAAACCAGGTTTTGAAGATAAGCTTCTAATGTTAATTAGCAAAAGTGAATGAAGCTGTGCTATCCACTAGCAGGAGTGAAGCTGCAGGCTTTCACTGAAGCTAACACTCACCCTGGAGTCATTCTTGGAAGTTACAGACAGCAGCGTTTCTCTAACCGCACTGAGGAAAATAAACTAAAACAATACACCCAAACTTCTCTTGGGAAGTAAAGCTTGTATTTCACAGGAGGCCTTTTTTGGGGCAGCAGGGTGGAGACTTGTTTATGAGTGATGCATGTACTTGGCCCAGCTTCAGAAGAACCACATTCTCAGTGTTGACCCAGTGGGTCTCCCTCTTTCTAGAAAAGCCGAGTCCATTTCATGGTTGGTGACCCATGGGGCCCTGAAGGCACTGAGGAGTACTAGGCAAGTCAGTGGTGGCAACCTGCTATCCACTCATACGGTTTCAGCTCCTTGTCTGTGAAGGACACTCTGCCAGGTGTCAAAAGCAGACAGCCACACTTCTAGGTCACTTTTCCCCAGCTAGCCCGTGGAGGAGCAAGCCTGTCTGTTTTCATCCAAGCCATCCTCCCTCTGACCCCTCTCTCCAAAATAAACCTCAGCCAGGCCTGCCGTTTTTTCCACATCACTAATAAGATTCCTTTTATGGTCTTGTGAAAAGCACGGGGGTCGGACTGATGCTAGGGAGGGTGGAACCACCTGCAGGCCCCTTCCTCCTAAATTCCAAATACAGTTCAAGGGCAGCCAGCACTCACCCTAAGCTTGGACCCAGCCAGATTTAGAGGTGGCCAACCTCTTTAGCTTAAAGTTCTCCCTAATAGGGGATTAACAAACAAGACAAACATTCTTTGTAAAAGTGAAATCCCACAACAGACACAGCCCAGCCCGCAGATCTGGAAAGAACTTCACCTACAGCAGCAGTCCCCTGCCAAAATAAGACCCTTTTAATAGCATGTTTTTGATAACTGTCTTATCGCACCCACAGCAAAGGCCAACTCCTGTAAAAGCAGACTTTAAGAGCGAGCTCAGCTTCGCACACAGACTGAGCCAGACAGGCTCCTCTCCCGCCCCTCTTCAGAGTTTCAAATCACAGCCCAAACCCGCGGGTAGGAGGCAGCAGAGCGCACCCCATCAGAGCACGTGGCGGAAAGCAATCCTCCGGGGCACAGAGCTCCCCCCTCTTACCACCCACCCTCGGAGCACAAGCTTGGCCAAGCACCAGTCCTGGCAGCGAGTCACGCCTCCTGGACAACGGGCACACCCCCACCATTTCCCTTTCCTCCCCTTCTGCAATAGCACCCATCTTCCGTCCACCCATTTTGGGATGTTGCAAGGGCTTTGCGGCAGAGTCTGCCAGCTGTACGCCGGCCTCAAACTGTTCCGAGGGCCGTGAAGGGAGATGAGAGTGCATGCACTTGCACCCAAAAACACTACTTCCAGCGGGCCTCCCCTTCGAAGCCTTGCCACAGCCCCGGAAGGGCTAGCTGAGGCCGTGTGCCCTCCGGACGAAGAGTGTGCGCCCGCCCTTCCCGGGGAAGTTTGCAAACACAGCTGTTCCAGAGCTGGGGAACCGCTGGGAGCGAGGCAGCCAGGGCTACACCGAGCAGGGGCGGGAGGAAGGGGCCGGCAGGGGGCGGGGGTTCCCAGACTAAAGCCTGGACTCCAGTGGGAGACACCCCTGCAGCCGCCACCCCAGGCTGGAGAGCGCCCTCCAACACACCAAAATCTCCCCTGAAGTCGCGGGAAGCCGGCTCCCCCACACCCTGCAGGAAGGACACACCCGCCCTCGGGGCGGCTCACGGGAAAGGGGAGGGTGCCAATTTGGACAGCGTTAAGAGGGCAGACTGTGCGAAGTCGCCTTCCAGGGCGCCCTGAGTTTTAGTTAAGCACAGAGATCATCTACAGTGACCTCCTGGTTAGGGGTAGCTATTGCAAGTACCAAGTATAAAACTAGCATCCTTGGGCACTTTCCCCCGCCCTCCCGTCCTCTTCAGTGGCCCCATTTCAGTAAGCTAAGCAAACACCATCGGGGATGGAAGACCCGCCTGGCCCATCTCGTTCAAGGTCTAGCTAGCTGTAGCATGAACTCTCAGACTCGCCACCTCAAAAGCCTCTCCACTTAGCGCAAAGTTTCAAGCCAGGAGCTATTAAATCTTCTCAAGGGAATACAGGGCTCGGCCCCGAGTTCGATTCCATCTGGGAGTCGTTCACTCACCGGCCAGGCGAAACTGAAAGGCAGAACGATGCGATTACGGTCGTTGCCGCGGCTGGCCTTGAGATTGAAGGTGTTGCCTCCAATGACGGGCGTGGACCCTGAGCCGAAGCTGCAGGGTCCCCCGGCCGTGACGCGGGACTGATACTCCTTGAGGCACACTTTGAAGTACGTGTCACACTCGTCTCGGGTGCACTTGCGGTCGCCAGGGTTCCGGGCGCCGCCGCAGCAGTTCCCATTCTGCAGTTCTCCGTTCACGTTCTGCATGGACAGGATCTCCAGCTCAAACTGACCCGAGGCCCCGCACACCTGCCAACCAGGAAAGAAGGTCAACGCATGAGAAAGTTTTTCCTCGCGAGGTGGAGACTCCCTGAGACCCCCCACCCCACAAGCCGCGAAGACTCCTAGGCGGCAAGTGAAAATAATTTTGCAAAACTAGGTTCAGGGCTTGCCCTGATTCAGGGGCATAAAAACCAAGTGCGGGAAAAATCGGAG